ATCCCTTTCACACGTAGTCTCATTCAGCCAGGTGTCCCCTATCATAGAGTGAAGTGGGCCTTCTACATTCGCTGGGGTTAGGGGCATAGACCCCCGCGAAAGTGGAAAAACTGCAACACATAAACCTGAGAATCCCTGGGTCCTCCAGCGCAACTCTGTGGTCAACATCTGCCAGACGTTGACCAAAGAATTGCACTGGGGGACCAACAAATGCCTGGAGAGGTCTTCTCTCTATAAATCTCAGGGTCTTCAGTGCAACTTCTGGTGGACTTCAAACAGAGGCTGGATGGCCATCTGTCGGGGATGCTTTGATTGTGAGTTCCTGCATGGCAGGAGGTTGGACTGGATGACCCTTGGGGGTCTCTTCCAACTCTATGATTCTATGACATTGACCACAGAGTCATGCTGGAGGACCTGGAAATTCCTAGAGAGGACAGATTAAACAAATCCATGACGAATCAAAGCTGCAAAAGTCAAAGCCACAAATGTGGAGGGCTAACTGTATAGCTAATACCCAAAACAGATTTGCTGCCTCACTGAGAAGCGAGCTGGCAGCCACTACGAAGTTGTAGTCCAAATAAAAAGGAACTTTCCAAAGTTCTGACTGAAAGGGATGATGTTCTTGGCTTGTTCAGCACAGTCGTGGAAATAGTATAACTCATGAAGGATTCTACAACCTGGGAGATTCATGGCCTCTGGCTTTCCAGGGGATTCTCAGAGCTCTTCTGGGACACAGCACCCCATATCCCTAGCCAATGTAGCCAACAGTGAGGGTTGTTGGGACTTGCAATCCAGCAACGTTTTGAGCGCTGCATGATTCCCACTTGTGTTAGTGAGATGGAGAAATGTGGAAATTGATATACAGTTTGAACGTCCTCAGCCTTGTTTGAAATAATAAACCGTGGGCCCTTTTATAGTACATAATTGTAATGTATATTCCATGTCTCCATCCTTTGGAATCCTGCAGTTTGGGATTTGGTGAGGCATAAGAGATCTCTGGTTGAGAGTTCTAACTTGTTATGTGCCCTCAAGTCATTTCCAACTTATGACAACCCTATCATGGCCTATTTTTTGGCAAGATTTATTCGGGGTGGGTAGGTGTTGCTTTTGCCATCTTTTGAGTGAGAGAATATGACTTGCCCAAGGTCACCCAATGGTTTTCCATGGCTGAGCGGGAATTCGAACCCTGGTCTCCGGAGTCGCAGTCCAGTGCTCAGAACACTATGACATGCTGACTTTCAAATTCTAGATGCTCCTTTCTTAACTGCAGAGCTCAGGAATCCATAGGAGGGAACCATGGCAGATAAAAAGGAATAACAGTGCTATAATTCTGTGGTGTTGATGTGCCCCAGGATTCTCCACAATTCTGGATTGTCCTGGCGTGTTTGAACAAGATCTGTATCTTTCTGATCCTCCTCCCCGATAGTCTTTAATTCTTGTCTTTTTTGTCCCAGATCACAGATTGGTGGGTCCAGTCAGCCTACCTGGAAAGTCGCCTTCCGCTGGCTGTTCACTCCAGTCCGGCTGTTGTGCTGCCCAAGCAGGATTTCAATGATTGGCGAGGGCAGCTGAGGTAAGGAGCAGGGTAAGAGAGAAGGGCATGTAGGGCAGGCCTGTGGGCATCATTGCCATGGCGGTCTCCAAAGGGCCAGGCTCTTGGGTTAATGCCAGAGGAGTGGTGGACACCCAGCAGGTTCTGTGGTTTTACATTTTCCCTTGGACCAAGCAGAGCAACCCTCATACATCCCCTCCTGGATAAAGTAGGGTTGCATTTGCACTACAGAAATAATCCAGGTTGACACCACTTTAAATTGCCATGGCTCTGTGCTACAGAATTCATGGTTTTGTGAGATACTTAGCCTTCTCTGTCAGAGAGCTCTGGTGATTTGCATTTTCCCTTGGACCAAGCAGAGCAACCCTCATACTTCCCCTCCTGGATAAAGTAGGGCTGCATCTGCACTGCAGAAATAATCCAGGTTGACACCACTTTAAATTGCCATGGGTCTGTGCTACAGAATTCATGGTTTTGTGAGATACTTAGCCTTCTCTGTCAGAGAGCTCTGGTGATTCAACAAGCTACAAATCCCAGAATTCCATTGCATTGAGCCATGGCAGTTAAAGTGGTGTCAACCTGGATTAATTTTGCAGAGTGGATGCAGAGCTGCTTTATCCAGGAGGGGAAGTATGGGGAGATTTGCTTGGTCAAACCTAGAGAGAGCTTGGTGTAGTGGTTTGAGTGTCGGACTATAACTCTGGAGGCCAGGGTTCAAATTCGTGCTTGGCCATGAAAACCCACTGGGTAACCTTGGACAAGTCACACACTCTCAACCTCAGAGGATGGCAGTGGCAAACCCCCTCTGAAGAAACTTGCCAAGAAAACCCTGTGATAAAGTTGCCTTAGGGTGAGCATAAGTCATCAGAAATGACTTGAAGGCGAATAATATACAAACTGGATTATTTTTGCAGTAAAGGCTGTAGGATGTGTGAGTTTTGTTTCTTGTACAGCCTCCTTCTTTGCATGAGTGCCTGCCCTGCTGAGGTTGTGCTTTAATCTTAAACTACCAGTGTGAATACATTTTGTCACACATCCATCCTATCGCTCAGATGAGTACAACAAGGTGTACGGAGTAGTTTATTCACAACTAGCTAAGCTTGATGTAGAAAAGAGGATAATTATAGTTTGTTGGGATGCCAAATTACATCATGATCCATTTGGAGAACAAACCTGTTCCTGGCAGCAGATCAAAGTGGACCAGGTGACCAAACCAGTATCCATGACTAGCATTCTTGTGAAAGAAAAAATGCACAGGGGGTATAGCTCAGCGGTAGAGCATTTGACTGCAGATCAAGAGGTCCCTGGTTCAAGTCCGGGTGCCCCCTCTTTTTAAAAATAATTATTACTACTGCTGCTGCTACTGTATTCATTTATATCCTGCCTTTCTCCAAATAATGGAACTCAAGGTGGATAACAACATATTTAAAAACAATACATATTTTAAAAACTATACAAATCTTCAATAAAAGTACAATCAGCAGTCCACATTTGTGGCTTTGACTTTTGTGAATTTAATTATTCACGGAATTTAGTAATATGTGATTTTACCATTTTATATAAGGGACACTATTTTACTATGCTGCTGTATTTAATAGGATTTCACTGTCCATAGATTTTGTTATCCAGAAGGGGGGGGCCTGGTACTAAACCCCGGCCGATACCAAGGGTCCACTGTAGATGCAGACATTTAAAACAGCACCACACAGCATTACTTGAAAGACCCACTTACTGTTGCCAGTGAAATGTTTATCTGCCATAAAAAGAATAGGGCTTCCCTCCTGCCCTGCTCCTCTTACCTTCTGGCAAGGATGAAGATGCTCTGCCCTGCCAGATTGCAGAGCTCTATAGTATAGGATGGCATACCACAAGGTGCCATCCTATCCCCAATGCTTTTTAACATCTACATCGCTGGGAGTGATTATCTGGAGACATGGGACAGGGTGCTGTCAGTATGCTGATGACATCCAAATATATTTCTCCATGGACGTTATCACACGTGGGCCAGAAAGCAAAAATAAAGTGGAAATGAGGCATTCCAAAAATAAACGGAAAATAAACCTTAATTCCGCAAACGTAATTACCTTAATTGCGAATTTACAGTAATCACATTAAACGTTCACACACAAACGAAAAAAGCCCGTAAATGTACTAGAAATGATCTTCTTGCACATGTGCAGACAGAGGAATGCGCGCTGGAACCATGGCAACAGCAGGAAAATGCTCCCAAATGTGCATTTGGTTATCACATTATGGTAAATGCGAAATTACCTTAATTGCGCATTTGCATTTCCTCCAAACAACCGAATTTCAAAAGATCGCAGTTAACACCAGTTTCTGTCCACTTTTTGTCCAGTTTCTGTGCGACGTTGTGTGAAAACACGCGGCACTAATCCAGTTTCTGTTTGGGTTTTGTGTGGATTTTAACCAGCAGATTTGCCCCCGTGTGATAACGTCCCATGTCTTCAGAAACAGCCTCAGCTAAGGATAGTGTGTCTCCTCTGAATGAATGCCTGGAGGAGGTCATGGGCCAGATGAGGGAAAGAACAAATTGAAGCTGAATCCAGACAAGAAAGAAGTGCTTGCTGTCAAGAGTCTTAACCTGGTTTTGGAAGTGTGTCAACCAGTCCTGGATGGGGATATACTCCCCCTGAAAGTCTGTGTTTGCAGCTTGAGGGGTTCTTCTGGATCTGCTGCTCCAAATCACAACTCAGATAGTTGCAATGGCCTGGAGTGCTTACTACCAGCTTTGGCTGTTATGCCAGCTGTGCCCCACCTAGAGTTGCAGGACCTAAAGGTGGTAATACATGTGCAGGTAACCTCAAGGCTGGACTTCTGCTATGTGCTGTACATTGGGTTACCTCTGTACCAAGTTTGGAAACTTCAAAATATGGCAGCCAGATTGATTGCTGGTCCATCTAGGAGCGATGATATCATACCAATATTAAAATTGCTCCACTGGCTGCCAGATAGTTTCTGGGCAAAGTACAAAGTGTTGGTTATTACCTTTAAAGCCCTACATGGTTTAGGACAGGGGTAGACAACCTTTCCCCTTTAAGGGCCGTGGGACTTCAGCTCCCAGAAGCCTCAGCCATGTTGGCCAATAGTCCCATGTTGGCCAATAGCTCCTGGGATTCTGGGAGCTGAAGTCCCTCAGCCCTTAAAGGGGAAAGGTTGCCTATCCCTGGTTTAGGATCAAGTTAATAATAATAATAATAATAATAATAATAATAATAATAAATTATTTTTATCCCGCCCCTCTGTGTAATGCAACTGGGGTGGCTTACAACATTAAAATATACATTTCCTATCTCACAATCCCATCCACCCTTTAAAATAATAATAATAAAGTTGGCTATGGGATTGCCTCTCTCCATATAATCCACTCCAAACACTCAGGTCCTCTGAGGGACATCTATTTCAGCTGGCCAAAATTAGATTGACAGCTGTTACCTAGAGTCCCTATATTGGGAGAAAGGCGGGATATAAGGAAACAACAACAACAACAGAGGACTTTTTCTTCAGTTGCCCATAGACTGTGGAATGACCTGCCAGGAGTGATCTAACAGCTAAATATGCTGTCTGGATTTAAAAGAGAATTAAAGACTTATCTCTTCTGGCAGGCCTTCCCAATCAAATTTAACCTATGAATTTTAAATTAGGATATTTTAATTTATGTTGGATGGTTTTAATGTGCTGTATGTTTATGTGTTTTAATAGTGGTTAAATGACTTTGATGTCTTAATTTATGTTGTATCCCATCTCAAGCCTTGGAGAAAGGTAGGTAAGAAATAAACATTGAGGATGCTGATCAGGATCAAGATCAGGATAGCACTCTAGCCTCCTACATCCTAGAAGCCAACATGGTTGTCACTAGATTTCCAACAACAACGGTGTTAGGCTCAGAAGCAGCAGTCAACTTTTAGTGGCAGCAGTGGGCAACCCCTGAATGGTTTTTGGAGGTGCCAATGGTGTGATACATGGATGGAGCCATTGGGCTAGTCTGTATCCCATAACCCTTTGCAGTTCACAACTGTCCAGTAAGTTGTCGCCTTCCAGAAGACGATGTTATAGAAAGGATTACTTGTAGATGTGATGCTGGAAGGTCATTAGTCATAAACATAATGCATGTGAACTAAATATGTGGCAAAACCAGTATCCATAATTTGATGTTAGCTAACACTAGTTTATGTGCTGGGGGTATAGCTCAGCGGTAGAGCATTTGACTGCAGATCAAGAGGTCCCTGGTTCAACTCCGGGTGCCCCCTCTTTTTGGACGAATTGGGTTGGATGTTCAGTCCTGTTTTTCTTTAAGACTCCAGTTGGGTAACTTGCAGAAAGACTTCATAAAAAATGATATCAGAATAAATCTGTTAACTCCACGTGCAAGAGATATATCAAGTGTTCTTAACTAGTTATTATAGAAAGAGATTCCTGTAAGTATAATGCTGGGAAGGCATTACTCATAAAAACATGGAAAAGAACAATGTGGCAAAACCAGTATCCATAATTAGACTTCAGGTAATTCTGGTGTATGTACTGGGGGTATAGCTCAGCGGTAGAGCGTTTGACTGCAGATCAAGAGGTCCCTGGTTAAACTCCGGGTGCCCTCCTTTTTAAAAGAATTGATTGAGATTTCAATCTTCCCAGATTAATAATGCATAAAACATAGGAATAGCCTTTTGTTTTCCTAGAAGAAATTTAGAAGAAATGGTAAGTCACAGCAGATAGAGCCAGCATGGCATAGTGGTTTGAGTGTTGGACTGCAACTCTGGAGACCAGAGTTTGATTCCCAGCTCAGTTATGAAGCCCAGTATATTGCATGTGGGCAAGTCACATGCTTTCAGCCTCAAGGGAAAGCAATGGCAAACTTTCTCTGAACAAATCTTGCCAAGAAAACCCCATAATAGGTTCGCTTGAAGGTTGCCATGAGTTCGAAATGACTTGAAGGCACACAACAACAACACACCAAATACTGTCCTTAGAGATTGTGATGATGGGCTCCCCCATTATGTGAGCAACACAGCTGAACAAGGGTTACTGATATGATGGGTTAGGTTATACAGTTAGCCCTCCACATTTGTGGTTTTGACTTTTGCGGAATTATTTGCCTATTCACAGATTTGATTAATATGTTCACTTGAATCCCTAGGTTCTCCAGTGCGATTCAGTGGTCAACATCTATGAGAAGTCTCACTGGAGGACCTAGAGATTCCTAGAGAGAACACTTCTCTAGGCATTTGTAGGTTCTCCAGTGTAATTCTGTGGTCACCTTCCAGTAGATATTGATCAAAGACATGCACTGGCGGTATTTTCTCAGGTTAAAAAATAGTATTTTTATTTGTAGTTTTATTCACTTTCATAGGGGTCCAGTGCTCCTAACCCCAGTGGATGTGGCGGGCTCACTGTATTTATTAGGGTCAAAATTGTTGGATTGAGATCCTGAGAGACAATTGCCCAGTAGATCCCTTCACATGTAGTCTTGTTAAGCCAGGTGTTCCCCATTCTATATCTGTGTATTTCATCTTTTCTGCCTAAATGCACTACCTTACATTTCTCCCTGAAATCATAGTGCCATAGTTATTTACTTATTTTTTAAATTTTATTTCTAAGCTGCCTTTCTCCCAGTATGGGCCCCGAAACATCTCACTGCACAGATGAAAATAACTGGTGGCTGAAACACAATGGTTCTATTTTTAAAAGTATTTTTTTAAATAAGCTATCCTGTTAAAA